TGCAAAGACTATATACTTCTTTTATTATTATTATTATTGTTTAATATAAATAATGTTTTAACTTCTAAAGATCTTAGTTGCTTAACAGAATTGACTTTAATGCTGATTTTGAAATATTTTGTAATACTGCCTTATGTTTTTTTAAGCACTTTAGAATCAAATCTTCTTGATATAATTCTATATATTAATCTTTTTTTAAAATACACTGATCAACTTGATGCTAAAAAATTTAGTCTTTGCTAGTTCTGACCTGTAATTTATATTAATGCTGCCTTTGTTTTTTTAGAGTTTTCTATTTAAGTATTTTTGTTTTTTTATAAAAACTTAGACAATATGTAACTTTTTTATATTTTGTATCTTTTGGCAAGTCTTAAATTATTAGCATTACTGTTAAATTATCTTTTATTTCAGTTTGTCATTTTGTTCTTGGCTTCTTTTTTTCAAAGTTTTTTGATCTATTTTTTGTATACTATATAGAATCATTTATATCTTTAGATACTTATCTTAATGCATAGATGTCTTTATAAAATCTGCTTTCTGAATTTCTCTTTTTCTCTAATATTATAATTTTTTATTCTGTTATTGTGTCTTAAAAACATTAGTCTCTTTAACTTTCCTGTTCTTAAATCATATATTTCATATTTCATCATTTTTTGTTTTATTTAGAAAAACTTCTCTTATTTATTAGCTTTATTATTTTTTTTGTTTACTATTTCTATTTCTTTTTCTAAGTGCCTTTATTTAAGACTGTTTTTTAAAATAATTAACTATATTATTGATGTCTTTAGCTTTATTTTGTTTTTGTTTTAATAAGATTTACTTTTAATTACTCTGTTATTTAATCTCTTTTTTTTTTTCTATTTAAGCTATTAATTTCTTTTTCTGTTATTAAATTTTTTTTTTATACAAACCTCTTAACTTACTAATTGTAATATTGGTAGTTCAAGCTCTATTTTTGTTTCTGTATATTGTGCTTTTTCTTTATTATTATATATTACTTCTTGCATACTATTTTTATATTCTTTTTTTTTGGTTAATTAAACTATTTTTTTTATTATTGTAATTTTTTTTAGTAATATTTTTGTATATTTCTCTATATTTGTCTACTAAGTAGTAAAAAATATCTGAAATTTTTTTTTTTGTATTTTGAGAATATTAATTGATAATTTTATGTTCTCAAAACTTTTTTAATATTCTTACTAAAAAAAAAACAATAATTATAATATTTTAATATGTATATTATAAAAACATAAATTCAAAATTTTATGTTTTTCGATTGTTTTCAAAAGAGAATATGATTTTTAGATACAATGTTCTTGAATTTTTTTAAAGGTTCTTAAGAATATTAAAAAAATTAGATATTAAATACTGCTACTAAGACTCTTATAATATATATCTGTATTGGATTACTTGTATCTAAAAAGTTTGCTATATCTATATTTATTTTTGTAATATACTTTTTTTATTTATTTAAGTAGATGTATTTTTTTGCTATTGTTCTTTAATTTAAATTATACAAATCTTTAATTTTTGCTATTACTATTTCTTGTTATTAGTTGTTTATTTAACTTTATATTTAATCTGTTTTAAAACTTCTAAACTAATTACTAATTTAATAATTATTTTTGCTTTTGTTTACAATGTTTTATTTAGCTAGTCATATTTTATTTGTTGAATACTTGAACATGTGTTGCTCTGTTTACTTGTTTGTTTACTTTAATTTATATAATTGTTTACTTTGCAGTTTATTTATATATTGATTGATCAGCTTTTTAGAATCACAGTTAGTTTTTTAATTTTTTTTAAAATTTTCTAAAAATTTTTGAAAAACCTTTTGATGTTTTAAATAAATAGTTTCTCTAAGAAGTTATTCTAATAAACTTAAACTGTTTCTGAGTTTTCTTTTTTTTTCTTTAATAACAAAAAATTTATTTCTTAAAGTAAATTTTAGTAAACTTAAATGTATTATTTTTTTTACTTTTGCAAAATTAAGATCAGCAAAAAAAAAATAATTAAGAATAATTAAAAATTATTCTTATTACAGATATTAATTTTCATATATAAATTACTAAACTTGTAATAATTATAATTATAATCTTTGTTATAAACTAAAAAGTTATATTAAAAATTATAAATTTAAAATAATATTAAAAAAGTTTATTATAAATAAACTAAAATATTTTTTTATTAAACATTTTTTCAAAATTGTATATTTTTAGTTTATAAATAACTTAAAATTTTTTTATGATTTAAAATTAAATATTACAAAAAGTAATCTTTATTTTCAAATATTATTATACTAAATTAGTATTTTAAACAAGTAAATTAGAACTAAAAAAAAATACAAATTTGTAAACAAATTTGTTTATATTAATTTATAATCTAAAAATAACTTTATATTAATCAAGTATCTTTAATAACTATAAAATTAGATGATCTTTATAATAATATTTTTTTGTATTTTTATTATAGTTAGTCTTAGTAATTTTTGATTTTCTATATTTTTTTAATATATTTTTAAAAAAATTTAACAAATATATATTGTTATAGATTATTGTAAAATTAGATTATTATAAATTTTAAGTCTTAATTTGAAATATAAATCTTATTAAAATATATCTATATATTTTTATTAATAAATTTAATTCTAAATTTCAACTCAACTATAAAAAAAAGCTAACAAAAAGACCTCAGAAAGTTTTAAAATTATATAAAAAATAAATCAAAATTTTATAATTATCTATGATATACATTATATATAATATTTTTTTAATAAAAAAATTATATTAAAAAAATACTTTATATTTTTTTAATTAAATTTTATAATTTTTTTAATATTAGACAAATTAAAATTTAAATTATATAATAATTTTGGTAATTATAAAATTAAATTAAATTCTTTTAAGTTTTTTTGTATTTTATATAATAGTAAATATTATTGGATTAAAAAAAAAATGCATAATACTAAATTAAATTATTTACAAAACAATAAAAATACAACTTTTATTATTGCAAATATATTTAGGACAGTTGAGCTTATATAAGTGCAATTAAAGTTTTACAATATATATTTAGAAAATAATAAGAAAACTGCATTTATAAAAATTATATATATTTTTTGATCTAAATTTGAGCATGTATTTAGTAAAAGTGTGCATTTATAAAAACTTCACTGTAAATCAAAATCTAATAATATTAATACAAATTTAATTTCTACAGAAAATATATTAAATATATCTAAATCTAATAATTATAACATAAATTATATTTTTACAAAAAAAGATATCTAATATATTTAAACTTAATAATATTGAATCCAATCCTTTACAAGATATTGAATGTACAAATTTTGTATTTGCAAAAAATACATTTGATATATTTACATGAATCTAATTATAATTTTTTGCATACTTTTTAGAATGTCAATTATATATTATTGAAATAGATAATAATAAAATTATATCTATTTTCAAAGATAATAAAAATACTAAAGTAGAAGACATTTTTAAAAAATCAAATCTATAAAGTTCTATAAATATATTAATAAGTTATTTCTGTACCCTTCTTGATTATTAATATTTATAAAATGAGTGTCGCCAAGTGAAAACCTGACATTCTAAAAATAGATTTCTATGGACAACGGAATGCGGGATTTTAACCAATCTGACTAGAGTAATGAATTATACTGCTCTTATGATCACATAGTAGTATCATTTAAAGTCTGAATTCCGTTGTTCGTAGGAATCTATTTTTAGAATGTCAGGTTTTCACTTGGCAGCACCCAAATGATCGTGATTACGATTGCTAAAGCTGGCCAATTTATCATAAAATATGATAATAAATTGGCCAGATTTAGCAATTGACAGTAGAGTTGTTATGTAATTTTGTGTAAATTTACAGTAACATAGTTTTCATGTAATTTGTAATTCACAAGATCTGTGCTAAAATTTTCGGTGAATAAAGAGTTACAAATTAAATAAATCAAATAATGCAATAATGCTAGCTGAACTTTTGTAAAGCTAGTACAATATAACGTGATATGTAAGTTAAATGAGAAGCCGATTCTTCTTCAGTATTAAAATATGTAAGTTACGTAAGTTATGTCGGTTAAAATTTAACTTACTGTCAGTTAGGGTTAACATTAAAAATTACATTTTACAATTTTACAATACATTGTAATTTTACGTAATTTCAGTTCAGGAATTCTAAAAATTACGGTAACCAGTTTAACCCGGTTGTCCCAGGTAACTCAGCTCGGTTACCTTGATTTAACCGGTTGATCTAGTTTATCCGATGGTACCCGGTTAGGTCCGTATCGGTTAATCGGTTGATGATTTATAACGCAGTTCAGGTCACTAGAATTGAAATGTTACTACTTTTATTCACGCTATACTACTTTACATATGTATTACTCAGAAGGAGTGCAATATTGAAGCAAATTAGTACAAGGTTTAAGTTACTTCTAAATTAGAAATTGCACAAGGAGGAAGGCTTTATTGATTATTAATAAATATTGCGAACTAGAATGAAGTTGAATTAAAATAAAATTGGTGTATTTACTTAACAGTCCTCTAAAACCTACATGTATTCTCTTATTAACAAACTTATCATTAAATTCTAACTAAATCTCTAAAAATATTGAAATATAAGCTACAAAAACTTCACAGCAATATATAATTTCATGTTAAAATTAATCCGTCCGTCACAATCATCAGGTATAAAGAAGGATATAATAGTATATAGCATGAAATTGCTAATAATTTTATTAATAATTATAATAATCCTTGTTTAAATTTTAAAAATTAATTTTTTAAAAATAAAACTTAACACATGAGGTTAGTTTATAACTTTAAAGATTTATGGGTATAAGTACGTACGTATATGATACCGATTTGTTTGTTTGACCAATACAACAGTACAGTCAGCTGACTAAGAGGACGATCAGGCTAAAAATACAATATAAATTTTAAGTATTGTAATAGCATGAACAAAAATTCAAGATGATTCAAATTCTTCCTAATGAGTTACAAATTGAAATTTTAACATATGTTGTTACAGAAACAAAGTAAGTTTACATAATTTTCATTAAAAAAAAGTTTTTTTTTTTACTTTAATAATATTGATAAATAATAGCTTTCAGAAATTTTGCACTTTACGAACTGTTTGCAAAAAGTGGAATATATTCATTCCCTTGGTGATGCACAAAGCGGTTATTTCTAGATTAAATGCTGATTTAAAACTTGAGGTAAATACAGAAAGATGATTTTTTAAGATAAATTTAAGTAATAAGTTTTAAGTAATAAATTTAATAATAAATTATTACCTTTAAATATTTTAGTTAACGTATTGGAATGATATTAAATGGAATAAAAAATTATCTCCAACTTATGATGATTATACTAAGACATTCACATTTATATTGGATGATATTGACGATGATACTAGTGATTCGTATGATGACATTAGTAAAATTCTCAGTGATCACAATATCAGTTTTATGGCGTCGATAGAAAAGTGTGAAGATGTACCAAATCCGATTAAACTTGGAACAGAATTGGGAGATTTAACATGGTTAGAATTTTTAAATGATGATATTTGTAAACATGAATTCGATCATCGAAGTAACATATGTTTCAAACGGGAGATTAAAGTTAATGAAGGTAATAGCATTAGTTGCGTGAAACCTTATAGTTTTACCCTTGAGGCATGGAAGCTTTGTTATATTTTAGATTGTCTTAAGTCTGATACGTGAGTTATTTAGATGCATATAAATAAATTGTTATGTTTTAGTTTATTATATTTAGTAAAACTTAAATTATACACTATTTTGTAGACAAATTTTATTTTTGAGAAAAGGATTTAGATATTTAGATTGGTGGGATGAATTTGTTTATAAATGGAATCGAAAAATCTTATTTTGGCAGTTGCAAGCATAATTATTTTAAAAATATTCACAAAAGATTGTAATGATTTTAATGCTTGTAGACATCCATCAAAATTTTAGAAGATTTAATCGGAGGAATTTTGTTAAGTTCATTTTTTTTTCAATGTAAACTTTTACCAGATTGTTAATACATCAAAAATGCTGATCTTATTATCTCTCAAATCAGAATCTTTAAATATTGATATGCCTCTCTATGTGATATATTAACGATAATGAGTTTTATAAATTGGTTGAATTACTTACTAAAAGAAACAAGCTTGCTAGTTAATTATGAATCCGGATAATCTGATCTAATAATTAACACACTTATTAATTTTATTAATTAATTGAAGACTTATCAAAAGACTGCATATTAGATACTACTAAACCATTCACCATCTTGATAATGACAGAAATTATCGCATGAACAATTTATCGCTTCGAAAAATATCATCGGCATTTGGTCATGAATATTTTAACGTTGAAAGGTTCATATATTTAATAATCAAAATAATAAATATACGTTCTTTTGATACGTTCCAAACAACAAAATCATATAACCGTATACCTTGATGTATATATAATTTAAGCAAGAATAATGTTGACAACTTTTTCAATATATTGCATTATAAGTGTGTTCATCATATACAGTATCCAAATTGTAACTCGACAAATGTAGAGAAAAATATGCATTTCTTTGTAATTCCGGATAAGACCTATAAAGTAATGCAACTTATTCATCGAAAAGATACAATTTAACCCCCCAAAAAAATCTTAAAGGTAATAAGTGGCAGATACTATTTGATTTGGTTCAATTGTCATGTTGAAATTATATAACTTACATAATTCTCTAGTCGAAATCTTCGAAAATTTGGTACATATTAATCAACACTGGCAGCGTGTTTATTATTCTTAATTTTATTATCCAATAGAAAATAAGCCTTTGATATATAAAATATATTTCGATTTTGCTTTCTTATTTCTACCAGATTTCACTTGCTTAATGAACTTTATATATCGTTTTACGTCACTTTAATTGCACTAAAAGCTTACATAACTTTTTATGTCTGATACATTTTCGCAATTAAATTACATAATATCGATATCAATATGCCTGCACGTATATTTATAATATAATTAAATACATATCACTCAATATCATCAATTATCTTCGTTCCTAATCTAACATATCATAGCATGAATTTCAGATATCATAGAACAATTACAAACATCACTCACGTCATTTCCATTTAAGCTCATAATGTCTGGTGCATTAAACCTGTATCTTCGCACATGATCAAAACACAAACGCAAGAAATCAATTGTTGATCATAGTCATCATGATGACCGAAGAGAAAGGGTCCCTGTTACTTTAATAAAGTTTGTCTTAGGTTGAGTTCTTTGTCTTCGTTACTTTTTTAATATAGTAAAAGTTTATCTGTGTCCTGTCTCATTTTCCTTCCATCATTCTTTATTATAAATATGGTGACTAAATTTCTTGAAAAACTTTCATTTGATTATATTAACCTTTTTGAAACTGGTGAAGATTTTAACGTGATAATTGAAGTTGGCAAATCTTCTTCCAACTCTAAGGAATTCAGAACACATTCCATTGTTTTGAAATATAGATCTATATACTTTCGTACTGAATTAGAAAATGCCACTGAAATGTCAAATAATATTCCAAGAATTAGTTTAAAGCCACATATTTCTATACAACAATTTGAAATTATTATTAGGCAAGTCCCTGAGAATTTCTTTTGTTTCCATAACTATATAATAGTTAACATCAATTAACATCATAACTTTTTTTTTTATCAAGATATATTTATGGTGGTGCGATCTCTTTAGAAAATCTTGATGAATCTTTCACTTTTGATCTTATGTTAGTCGCTTGTGAATTACATCTCGAGGAATTGGCTCAGTATCTTGAAAAAAATTTAATTGGATATAAAGAACATTGGCTACGTTTACATTTTGAAAAGGTTTATAAATCAAGCGTTCAAACCAACTACTTATTGGGTTTACAAAATTGGTGTACCAACATTTTGACAAAGTACCCAAATTATATTTTTCATTCCAATGTTTTTATTTCTCTTCAAGAAAATGCTCTTATTTCTCTTATTAAACGTGATGACTTACAAGTTGATGAAATAAAAATTTGGAATCGAGTTATTGAATGGGGAATTGCTCGAAATCCGAATTTACTTCCTGTACCTGAAAATTGGTCTCATGAAAATTTTGTGGCTTTGAAGTCTACTCTAAAACATTGTTTACCTCATATCCGTTACTTTCAAATTCCTGGTGATGATATCATGAATAATGTGTTACCTTATAAAGACATTCTAGATAAACATCTTTGGGAAGACTTGATTAGAAAATTTATCGCTCCTAATCAACCAATTTCTTCTTTAATTTTACCTCCTCGTATTACTTTTAATCAAAAATTACTCGCTGGTTCATCTGATCTTTTTTCAAAAATTATTAATACTGACCATGCCGCTGAAATTGCTTCTTGGATTGATGGAAATGATGTTCTTTATAATTCAACAAATATTCCTTATGAATTTAAATTACTTCTTCGTGGAAGCAGAGATGGTTTTACTAATGCTTCGTTTTGGAATTCATGTGATAAGAAAGCAAATACTATCGTAATTATGAAAGTTAAGGGTACTGATGAAATTCTTGGTGGTTATAATCCTATTGAATGGGATAAATCTACCTATGGGTATAAGAAATGTAATGGAAGTTTTATTTTTTCTTTAAAAAATGGTAATATTCAAAATTCTATCTTAAGTCGTGTGAAGAATCCGGAATGTGCAATTCGTTGTTTTCCTTCTAGTGGCCCACTTTTTGGTGACGGTACTGATCTCGGTATGAGTAGTAACCACAGTCCAGGACAACAATATTTTAGTATTCATGGTTCTTATGAAAAATCAATTCGAAGTTCTGCAGGCACTTATTTTTCAATAGATGAATATGAAGTATTTCAAATTATATAGACTTTTTTTCATTGACTTCTTAACTTTTTTATAGCGTAGTGAAGTAGTATTAATGGATACATGATTAAAACTTAAAAAAATATGCATATTGATTTTAAATAAACAGAAAAAAAACGATATACAACAAATGTAAATGATTTCTATAAAATAATGTCTTGCTTTTTTCTATATTATTACAAATCTAACAATAAGAGTTTGTATTTGTTTCAGATATGGATTACTCTTTCATTTCTGCATTTTATTTTAGTTACTTTTGATTGGTATATAAATCAAGGAAAAAAGCCATAGAATGCCGCATTGCCACGTGAAAATAGGGTGTCGTAAATCAAATAATAGTTTGGGTGTCGTAAATCAAGTAGTTTGGGCCATATATAAAACTAATTATTTAAGGATTTTTTTACAGGTTTTAACTTTGCGATTGATTATCATTATTTATCGTTATTGAACAATACAATTTGCAATTAGTGATGGGACTACCGAGTTGCTAGTTAATAATAAAACAATTAGTAATTAGTTAATAATGGTTAATAATAATTAGTAATTTTGGTAATTGTTAAAAATGGGTATGCAATCATTTTAATAACTGCATATATATGTAATTGTTTGGGTCAAAATCCTGACAAACCATCCTGTCAAACAATCTTGACAAACAAATTCCTGAAAAAATTAATCAAAAGCTAGCCTAATATGAGCAGACTTGTTAAAATTCTATTTCTCAAGATTATAACAGTTTTTGTTTTAATTGCTTACAAAAAATTAATAAACATTAGTAATATAATATCAGGTTTAAAAATTTTTTGAATTTTTTGTGTTCAAATGTCACCTCAATGTAAATTTGAAAGGAAAAAAAAATCAATTTGGCAATGGTTTAGCAAAGATGAAAAGATAAACAGTTCACATTATTTAGTATAATGCAATTTTTATAAACAGAACTGTTCTAGAGAACTTTCAAAAATGATCAAACATTTATTAGAAAAATATAAAAACATTCATCAAGATGAGCATGACAATATTGAAGATATCTTAAAAAATACTAATGCTAAAAATTTAGAAAAAAATATTTATTATTTCAAGACAATGATTATAACATGAATACAAATAATAAGTCAAAAACTGAACATATTTCAGCTCTGTGAATTGGAGAAAATGTATCTATTAATTATCAATTACTCAAAGCTATAATTTCAGCCAATGCATTATTATCATTTGTAAAAGATTCTGAAGTAACTAAACTATTTTATATATTAAAACTCGAATATAAACTTTTATCTTATAAATAGATAAATACAGATATTTTAGATAATGTACATGAAAATATTCAATGTGGCATTCAAAATTTTATAGCAGATTTGATATTTTTAACACTGTCTGTTAATGGTTGGACTAACATATCAAAAAATTGCATATTAAATTTTATTGTTATAAATGAAAAACATAAAGTCAAATATTAAAAATAGATAATTATTCTGATCAATATATATAGATAGCAATATTGTTGCTATATATAAAGAAATTGGAATGAATCTTGGTTTAAAGAAATAAATAGTATTTATTTCAAATAATGAACCTAATTTTTAAAAAAACACAATGCCTTATACATGAAATAAATATTTTAATTATAAATTTTTATACATATTATAAATTAATATTAATTTATATATATTTATATTTAGGATCATGATATAGATGACAAAGTTTTAACAATTCTGTATATGGCACATCAAACTAACTTATTAGTCAAAAAAATAGTTGAATTAATATTTTTTACACTAGTTATTAAAAAAATACTAGTAATTATTAATTATTTTCAAAATTCCAATCATGCATTATCTAAATTAAAAGAATTGACTAGTAATGCAATATTAAAATCTTAATATCCATGTATTATCTATTGAATAACATTTACAAAATCAGCAGAAACTATATTAGAAATTAAAACTAATCTAAAAGTATATATATATATATATAATTTAAAATAATATATATATAATCTTATTTAATTAATATATACATAATGTATTTGTTTTTAGGTTATTGTACTTATTCATATATTCTATTTAATATCATGTTTATAAAAAAGTAACACCCTAAGTAATATTATTAATAATCATAAATTCTAGTCAAGACTTGAATTGTTTTATAAGTTATTAAAACTGTATAATTATGTTATAAAAATTTTTGAAACAGAAAAGACAATATTGGATCAGATGGTTGTATTATAGGCATAACTTTATGGAGCTATTAACAAAAGCTTATTTACTAATAATGTTTTTTAGGATTCTTTAATTATAGAAATTGATAATTATTAATAAAAAATATTCAATCTAATTTATTTAATTACCTAGTTTCTTTATAATATCATCATAGTAAAGAATGAAATCCAGCATGACTGTTATATATTCAACAAGCTATATACAGCTTATTTTGTACTTTTTATCGGGATTATAATCAAAACAAATTTATTAATAAATGGTTAAATTACTCAAATTATAAGAGTTTATTTTCTGCATCATCTATCAAAAATCTAAGTTTTATAAGATTTCTATTAAAATATTAATGCATTATATTAAATATGACTCCATATTTAAGTGAATTTGCATGCTGTCTTTTATCAATTTCATCTAATTTAGCAACTTCTGAACAAGTATGTCTTTATTAAGTAATATACATACAAAATATCATAACAGATTATCACCAATATAGGCTACAAAAATAGTACAAGTATCTTGGTATATAAATCTACTATCAAAATAAAATTAAAAAAAAACACAAATATTAAAATGAAATAAAAAGTAATATTTTAGATAATGATGACTATATTAATAGTAGTAATAACTATATTGATAGTAGTGATGACTATATTAATGATAATAATAATATAGATTAATTTATAGTAAATTTAAATCAAATTTCTAAAAAATTAATAGATGATATTCATGTTTTTAACTTAGATAGTAAAGAAACTATTCTAGTACTCATAGATACACTTGATTCTAAGATTATTAAAAGACATTAAATGTTTATATTAGTCAATTATATGTATGAATTTAGTTACTTATTAATGATATTAAATAAATAAATTCAATTTATTGGGTTATATCAAAGTATATATGTGTATGCTTTATTCAAAGTTAAAAAATTGTTATATTTTATTTTTTATAGAAAAAATCACTTCAAATAACATTTTGAAAGAATTTAATTTGAGCTAGTAAATTCTGAAATTAAACAGATATGTAGATAAAATTTAATTCTATGATTTAAATTCATAAAGATTTTTATAACATTTTATAGGTTGCAAATATAGAGATTATTAATCTGATCATTTAATACATTAATCTCATTAATGATTTTGATATAAAGAATTATTATCTTTCTTTATATACAGTTCATTGATTTTAGGTATATTTTATCATAACAACTAAATTTTTTTCACTTATAATTCTATTAATAAATATTATAGTATGTTTATTAACCTGACAATTAAATTCTCGTAATGCTCATACTTATTACCAAAACTTAAAATATGAATGTGTTTGTACATATAATTAATAAATTTTTTGTCTTGTTAACTACACAAAAAAAAAACCTTCTAAAACTATAATTTTATATCTTCTTATTTTAATAAAATGACATGCATAATATATATGTATTTGTGAATTATATAAAAAAAAATGTTTAAATATATTGAAATATTTTTCATTCACATGATATTAATCAGGTTAGCTGCATCATATTCAATTAGATGTGCTATATATTACTAAGTAATTTTTAGTTAATAAATCAACCAATTGTTAATAATTCATTATTAATTATTAATAATGCAGAAGATCTTATCACTATTTGCAAAAGTACATTTTTCAAATTAAAGACATAAGATTTTTTATATTATATTTTTTTTTTAAATTGTAGTTTTTATTTTTCTCTTTTTGATAGCAACCTGTTTGTAGAATTTTAATTGATTCATAGTTAAGAATTAACTATTTATAAATAGAATAATCAAAAAAATAGCATTGTTACACTATTATAAGTGAATTAATATATCTCTCAAAAGAAAAATGTACCGAAAGTTACTATTATTCTTAGTAAATTCAGATTTTCATTTGTTATATGGGGGTAAGTCAATAGAAACTCATCATTTTTTTCTAAATAAATTTTTTTAAACTTTAAACAAAGATAACTCAACAACAACTCTATCAAATTTAATAAAAATTTTTTAAAAACAATCCTAAAAACTTATAGAATTTATTTTAAAAAAAATTTATTAAACTTAATTAAGTTTTTGCTAAGTTATTTTTGTTTAAAGATTTAAAAAAATTTATTAAAAATAATATAGTGCATTTCTATTGACTCACCCCCATATGTTGGCATATAGTTTGATGATCACCCTAACGTGACAAATGGTACTACTGTACTATCCAATTATAATTGGCTATTGTTTTAAAAGAAACTAATGTTGGCATTAGGGTATTGGCCTAAACTGAAACTTTCGCTCAGGCCCGAGACCTCAGGTCCGAAACCTCCGAAACTAAACTTACCCACCTGATATTAGATTTATTAAGCGAAGCTTTCCACATAATGAATGTTTATTTCATTATACTTATTCTAAATTAGGTTTATATTAACATAAATTAGAGCAAGTATAATGAAATTGGCGTTTCGGCCTAAACCGAAGCTTTCGCCAGCATGAAATTACCAAAACTGGGCGAAGTTTGACGAAACCTACCCACCTAATATTATATTTATTAGACGAAGCTTTCCTTATTATGATGAAAAATGAACCCTAAACCGGAGAAAGGATCTAAATATTTAAAATAATGAACCGTTTCAGAAAAGTTTATTTGCTCTAAATTAGATCAATATAAGTTTTATATTAACCTAATTTAGAGCAAGTTTAATGAAATAAACATTTCTGAACTTTATCAGTTATTTTAAATATTTAGATCCTTTCTCCAGTTTAGGTTTCGCCTTTCATCATCAGAAGAAAGCTTCTAATAATAAATATAATACTAGGTGGGTAGGTTTCGGAGTTTGGGCGAAACTGGAATTCAAAAGGCGAAACGTTTCAGGCTTTGGTAAAGGTTTAAGACGAAATATTGGTGGCACAGTCCAATGACAATTCAAATAAGTAAAAACCTAATATTGTAATGACAATTTTAAAAATATAAAGACATAATTTAAATAAATGAATCAGAACACTTTCATATTTGATAAAATATGAGTGAAAAAAAAGTGCAGTTACATGATGAAAATCATAACAGATTTCCGTGCCTACAGTCATATATTTAAACTGAACATGACCGAACGTTCAATAACATATTTATAATTTTATTAGATCATAATGAAATCGAATGAGTGACTTCTATTTGACCCCCTTATACTTGTTTATTATAAATTCTATTCCTAAACCTACTCCTAACCCCAAAAATATGCTAAAAAAATGCACCTCAAAAATTTGTATTTTTCGGTGACTTGTCTATTTGACACCATTACTTATTTCATTTCATTTTAATCCGTCACAATAAATGCTGATTTTTTTTATAATGTTCTAAAATTTATTCTAAAATATTTTTGCTATTTTCACTATACAAAAATATTTTTGTCATGCAAAAATAATTCGTCATTCAAAATTTTTTCAGATCTCTTGCAGTATAGGTGATACCTATTCATGGTGTCACCTATACTGGAAGAAATTCCTTGATTCATGTGTTTTAATAATTGTGACAGATCATAATGAAATTTAACTTATTTTATATACGATTTTTAAAAATTTTTGGGGCCTTTTTTTGTTAGGTTTTTTTTATAGTTAAGTTAGGATTTGGGGTTAGAATTATTAGGAAAAGAGTATAGGTGGATTTTGATAGGACTTATATGCTTAAATTGAGACCTTTAAATTTCATAATGATCTGATTTCATTATGATCTGCAACAATAATTTATGGATATATCGACAGATCTTAATCTAGTAAGCTAATAATAAAATAAATTTTTTTAGATTTTTTAATAAAACTCACCCGGATAGTAAGTATACTTGAATTTTTTTTTTTAGAGTTTTGTAAATGTTGATCCGGCCGGGTTATGAGAACCGATTTATTAAGTTTGTATGGCCTAACGCTGGGAGACTTTTGAAATTTTAAAATTCTATTCTTGGGCGACAATTACATTAACAATTATGAACAAGTGTCAGAACAGACAGGTTACTAACATGCAATTATGTACGCATTTAGAAAAAGATAGTCGACATTCTTTATATAAATTTATATACAGAATTAAATAAGTTCTCACGGAACTATCTTAAATATTAAACGTTCATCTTTAACGATCTAAGTCGCAATCATACAATTCAATGTCTTCTTCAAAACTTAATTATGATCAAGAGGTGAAGGTAGTCTTCTATATTCCTAATTCAAAAAATACTTTCTAATATATACTTTTATAGAAAGCTCGTCAATTTTCCTTTCCATACGTGAGCGGCTCACCTCTAAAGCTTTTGGTAGCCCTGCTTGAATATGTCCCTGGACTATCAAGCTATATTTTCAATCATATGGCAATAAGTACCTTGAGAAATAGATCCTTCAAAGAAGATATGACAATGATGCCATTACCTTTACCAAAAGAAATGTTTGGTATTGAAAACTCTGTGGTAATTTAATCAAATATATAAAAAATGTCATTTTTTTAAGTCCTAAAACGTATACGTAATTGTGATTATTTTCCTAAAATGCAATGTCTTGACAAAGAGTACAAAGAGTGCATAATTTATTTCGTGACACTCTTTTAAAAAAAGGTAATAAAATATAATATACTTTTTTTATAATAGATCATCGATGGGTTAGAAATTTTTGACCAGAAAGATCATGAGAATAATCCAGCTCCAGCCAACCAAAGATTTTTATGCGCGCGTGATTATACTGAGGCATATTCGACTAAAAGGATTACACCTCTACAAGTATATTAAGGATATTTTTTTAAATAATAATCATATATATACAGTTAATTTTAACAATAATTTTACCTATTTCCCATAAAAAAGGTATGCGAGAAATTAATTGATAAAATAAATCAATCTTGCTCTAAGGCGTGTGACCCTCCTCTTTACGGTTAGTTTACTTTTAAAGTAACCATTTTAATATCTAACTTATCATTAATCAATTTTAAATTATAACGCGGCAATTTTAGGTATGTATCAATACCACGAGGATGATATTATAGCTCAAGCTGAGGCGTCGACCTCTCGATATAATCAAGACCAAACATTGGGACCCCTTGACGGTGTTCCTGTGGCGATTAAGGATGAGATTGATGTCATAGGTTATGAGACACGTGTAGGAACATCATTTCTTAATCAAGGAAACCCTGCTTCAAAGGATGCATTTTTGGTAAAAAAACTAAGAGAACAAGGTGCTATTATCATTGGAAAAACAAACTTGCATGAAATTTGTTTCGAGTAAGCTTATTTGAGATTAGTTTTATAGTTGGTCAATATCTTCAGTATTTATAACATACTTTACTATTTTGTCGGTTTAATAGCATTACAACCAATAATCCGAATGCATATTCATCTCGCAACCCCTACAATACCGATCATTATTGTGGAGGATCGAGTGGAGGTAGCGGATGTGTTGTTGCCAGGTTATTATAAAATTATTCTTATCCAAAGTTTAATTCCGGTTTTAAATTGATGATTATATATCTATTTTTTTCACACAATAGCGGTTTATGTCCAATTGCTATAGGAAGTGATGCTGGTGGTTCTATCAGGCAATTATTGAAATGGTCTTTAGCTGATATTTGAAAATAAAAAAAAAAAACCAGATAAAGATTTATATTGTTTTATGTGAATTCTTGTTTAGAATACCGTCTTCTTTTTGTGGAATCTATGGATTAAAGCCTACATGTGGAAGGATTTCTTCAACAGGAGAATGTAAGTACTGTAATATAAAGTTATTTAAATCGTATATTTAATTGAAATAACCTTACAAGATTATGTAAATTATGATTTTCTTTGTAAGGATCTATATAGATATATATATATTAATCTATATTTTTTATTGTATCTTCAAATTTGTGTTTTGGTTTACATAGTTCCACTTTGCTGTTCTCTAGGTGAGAAATTATTATTATTTTTACATATTGCATGTAGTCAATTGTGAAAAAAAACTAACTTGAATATGTCTCTATTTAGCTGTTTTAGGTCCCATGGCCGCTTGCGTTGATGATTTGGCTTTAGCTTATTATGTTATGGCTGGAAAAGATCCTGAGGTTTGTATTTGTAATTTGATAATTTATAATTATAAATTACATTTGTATTTTAACTTTTTTATATTAGGATCCAAAAACTTTTCACCAGCCGTCACCCACTCTCCATGATCTTTACCTTACTAAAACATTGTCTGATTTAAAGATTGGTATATTCACTGATTGGAATAAACGAGTAGTCGACCCTACTATTACTTCATCTCTAAATTCATTCATTAATGAATTCAAACTTCGCGGTGCTGAATTTATTGAAATTGATATTCCGGAATTAGAGGACGCACAAATAGCTCATTCAACTGCTATTTTATCCGAATTCTGTTCCTTTATGAATGAGTACAAAGAATATTTACATTTGTTGAGTCTTCCTAATAGAGCAAGCATCGCGACATTCAGTAATGCGAATGCTTCGGATTACATTAAAGCATTACAAGTTCGTACACGTATGATGCGTAATGTATCAGTCTTATTCTCTGGTGTTAACCTTATTTTAACACCTACTTGCGCCATAACTGCTCCTCCAATCTATCCGGGAGCTTTAAAATATGGTGAAATAAATACATCTGTCACTGCATATGGAGTAAGATTTACAAAATTAGCCAATTTCATTGGTATTCCTGCCGTTACTGTACCAGCAGGTTACAATGATAAAAACCTACCAATTGGATTACAATTTATGGCAAAATGGTATGATGAAGCAACATTATTAAGGGTTGCAAAAGTTTCAGAGGAAATAATTGGATGTAAAAGGCGAAGACCTGCTGAAAAATATTGGTTTGGTGATTTATTGTAAATTCTTAAGAATATAAATGTAGCGAAATAAAAATTGCAATCACTTTTTGATTTGAGTATATATAATCTAGAAGTGATATTAACCTTAAGTTAGTATCATTACCAGTAATTGTTATAAAATATGGTTTCTGATGATTCAATACATGTGTCTAATGTGCAAATTTTAACACCATTTTTTTTTGTCCTCCAAACAATATACATATACTAACTAGTAATAAACCGGCAGCGTTTTGTGGATGGGTACTTATATGAGTGTCGCTAAAAGAAAACCCGACAATTTAAATATGATTTATATTTAAATTTTCGGGATTTCTTTTAGCGACACTCATATATTAGTTATAGTTTTCTTTAATAAAAAAAAATGGTAGAATTAGTACAGTAACATATAGTTATCATCAAAATAAGTTATAACAATAAATTGACCATTAATATATGAATAAATAAAACACACTTGTTACGCGTCCTTCTTTAATTATATGATATGTCACTTTGTAATTAAATCTATGCCTAAAATATCAAACACGTAAAACACAACTATGTCGAGATTTTAGTCGAGATTTTCAGTTTGATCATTCATCGGTTTATTAACATTTAAAATGTATGGATTGCCTATTCATGAATGATATAGGTTGGCCAGTATTATACGTTATGAATTGGCAGTTTTTCTTGAATATTATCTCCTAGTTACTATGTTATAAAGAAATTATTAATTTAGTATGTCAATCTTTGACATATTACACTTTTAAATTGGTAGAAAGCTTTTTTTTTTTACTTTCTTTTTTAGGAGATTTACCAATTAATTTTGTTTTCATGATCTAAAATATTATAATATTGGGGGTTTTTTTTTGAGCGCCAGCTATCATACTTTCCATATCGATATAAAGATATAAGTTAGATCAAAGGTTCATTATGATGATTGTCGATCTGTTTGTCTTAGAAATGGCACAACACAGGTCTAAAAGTCTAAAAGATTTCTTTACTCGTTTTCCTGTAGTAAGTTGTGATAGGAGAGATAAAATTATATTACATAAGATGCATTTAAATTAAAGTATTTGATAAAAATCTCTGGTTGTTCCGACATTATTTTTATACTTTATTAAAAAAAAGAAAAGCATCTATTAAAGCGCCACATGCGCACCTTGTATAACAAGGTAAATTCAAAAAAAAAATGCATCTATTAATGATAAAAAGAAGATAGTCAACATAAATTTATAAGTTATTTTCATTAATTTTATCGCAAATGGAACTAAATGAAGCATATAAATTATAATGTAACGATTAAGTTTAAAACGATTCATAATGAAATAGTACAACAAATGTAAGACTAAATGATCAAGATTACTATAGTATTCATTAGCACATAATTAAGGATTATTTTTGTAATAATTTCATTTACACACATTTCATATTTAAAATCATATACAATTGATTGTATATTCTGCTTAAACATTCATGAAATAATACATTCTAATCATGGAAGATTCTCAAAAAAAAACAGAGATTTCCTATTATGCATAGTCATCAATCTGAGAGTCATCGTGTGTTCTTTTGCCTTGAGCAGCCAAATGGGACACACAACTCCAGAGAGTAACTTCACCTTTTAGTCTGAGAGTAATCTTTTCAGAAGCACCATCATTGGTTTCATTTTCGACAGTATTGCTACTAACAACACTAGTGACATCATCCGCAGTCGAATTTGGATTTTCGGCTCCTCTAACAACGAATTTTGTGACACTAGTATTTTTAGCATTATGTTTCATATTTAAATTATTATTAACAGAGAAATTTAAATCCATAATAAGATGTCCCTTAATAAGTTTGTTTATAACACCACCGTGAGTAACTAAGAGAATATGAGAATTACGTTTATTCTGTGAAGATGAACCGGGATAATTTTTTGGTAAATGTGTTACAATCATATCGTTAAAGAAATCGACCACCCGGCCTTTAAAATCTTCTTCAGATTCACCATAATCATCCCATTTAGTACCTTCCTCTTTAATTAAATTTGAGGCATCTTGGATAGATTTTCCACCAAGTTTTCCTATATCCTAATAATTAAAAGTTATAATTAAATTTTAATTGGAATAGTTAAAATATTTAATAAAATATTTAAAAGATGTAATTGATATTTACGAGAAAATATTTACCCGTTCTCGAAGTCGAATATCTAAAGCAAATGGCGTATCCGGATGATGTTTATTGATGGCTTCTGCCGTCTAAGAAATAAAAAAGAAGTCAAGATAATTATTTAAACAATGACAATTGTTTCAAGAATATATTTTTTCTTACCTTTTTTGCTCGGGACAAATCACTAGTGTAGATATGATCAAATTTCAATTTACGTAACCGTCGTCCAACTATCTCTGCCTGTTCTTTTCCTGTTTTATTTAACTCTGTATCTACACATAAAAATAAATCAGTACTTTATCAATCACAAATATAACCATAAAAAACATACGAACCTATATGTCCTTGTAAAATGTGGTTCAAATTTGAGTTAGTTTCTCCATGTCTTACGACAGTAAAGTGCAACTGTGGTGGTTTAATGGTCATATTTGATATGTATAAATATAAATATAAATATATATATGTAGGTATTGAATATGAATCTTGGGAATAAAGAAGTTTACTGTCTCGTTGCTTGAGTGCGGCGCAGTTAAGATAGTTACATATTTTTTCTTAATGTGAGGGTATTTTAGGTCGTTTTATAAGTGTGAAAGTTCAATTTATGCATAAATGTTACACGAGATATATAGAAAATAAAGACCCCGAATTAGAGGCCTGCGTTGGGTCCCGCAGCCCGGCCCGGCCCGCAAATTTTTGCGGGCCGGCCGGGCCTGAGGCAAAATTTTATAATTGCGGGCCGGGCCGGGCCGAAAAATTTGCAAAACTTTATAATTGCGGGC